ATTCTCTCTAACTCACCAAAATCAGTAACTTTACACTCTTCGTGAATTTACTAAAAATGATGAGTTTAGGCTGCAAAAAAGTGTAAATGGATTAGTAAATGTAAATTTGATTTGGGTACACCATAAATATATTTAGGCTGTTCTTCACTGAGGTTTTGTTTTATATTTCTTCGGTTTTTTGGTCGCAAGTCATTTAAGAACACAATTGACAAAACAATATACAACCGCAAATAGAATCACTTGGATAAAATCACAAGCGCACACACTCCGGTATAGGACAGGCAAGACAAGCGCAAGTAAAATGGCGTTGGGTGAAGCACAAAAGCAGACACACTCAGGTAAGCGCAGTTCCACTTTAGAAGAAGGTGTGGCCACACAGTGTTTTGGCCTGCTGCTTTTCCAGAAAATTTCTTAAGCTTTGATTTCTTGAGGCGCAACACGCGCCTGTACTTGAGACTGGCCACCTTGGTTGCCCCTCTGTGCTTCCTCCTCCTCGTTCTCCCCCGTATCCTGCAACCCTGCTGCCCAGCCATGAGCTGCTGGCTTCTTCTTTAGTTTTGTTGTCTCTTCACTTGCAGCTGGCCTTTTCGAAGGACCATTCTTGCCTTTGCCTTTGACTTGGCCTTTTCCTTTTGCTTTGGCTTTTGGGCTCTTTGCTTTGGGACTTGCCGCGGGCTTCCTTCACACAGGTGTCTTGGGCTCTTTTGTCTCAGCCTCAGAGACGGCCTTGTCTTCTAGGTCTGGTGGCGTTGCTTGGCCCATCGGAACTTCACCCTCTGCCACGTCGACGCAGAAAGTTAAAGCTAATGTATCCTATCCTTTCAAAGGTCTTTGAGATCAATCTAGCTGCGCAAGTAAACAACAACCAATAAGCAAGCTGTGCAGAAAACTTAAACTTGAACAACATACAATACTGATCAACTTTTTGCGCAACACCTCAAAAAACATTGAGCAACCTCTTTTATCTGCGGTAGTCAAGATTAGTGGAAGGGGCGTTCCTTTTCTATAGCCCAAAGTCAGATTTAGTTGGCGAAACGAGGTAGGAACACCCTGAGAACGAGATGGGCATCAATTGCGCCATTTGTTTGAAATGGTTTAGATAAAGACATGTTTAGCTTGTGAAACGAGGTCGGAACACCTCTCGAGAACGAGATGGGTATCCATTGCACCAAACAGATACAGGAATGGAGAACGAGATGACACCCCAAAAATGATGCGAGATTGGAGAACGAGGTAAGGGAGGCCCATGTGATAACTTAACGGAAACATGTTCCATCGCTCACATGAAGCCCGCGAGAACCCTAGGTGTGTTTTTGCTGACAAGATGATGCGCTCTTGATGTACTTCTGGTGTGCTTCTGATGTACTTTGTAAACGTGTATACACTTTAAAAACTACATCAAAAGTGCATCAGAAGCGCATCAAGAATTTATCCGCATTTCACCTAATGTTTTTTTAACTCTCTAAATTACATTTCATGAACAAGGTACCAAATACACTACAAACGACAAAAAACACTAAACACACAGTTCCAAACTGAATGACGTCCCCATGTAAAGGATACTTACACAAAGTCTCTACCTGAAGTAAAGTACTCTCAAGTAAAAGAACTCTCAAGTGAATGCACATCCTCAAGTAAAAGCTTCTCAACTTCTCAAGTAAAATGACGCCCTCAAGTAAAAACTTCTCAAGTTAATTCACACACACACATTTCAAGTGAAATGACATCCTCAAATGGCTCACAGTGCAAAGAACATTACCTAGACAACGTCATGCGCAGCTGCTCCCAAAGCAGCCATGGTGACAAACCAAATGGAGCTAACAGCAACTCGCAGAGGCAAAGATCTCTCACATCACATGCACCCTCACACCGGCAAAGACATCAGAAAACATGTCCCAAGAACAAGTTTCATCTTTCAAGCTTATGTGAAGCATAACAGCAAGTAAATGGTCTCCCATCAGAAAGTTGAAGACCCTCAACAAGTAAATCTCCTCCCAAGTAGACACCCGCAAGTAAAAAGGTTCTGTTTCAAGTCAAGGGGTACATATGCTCAAGTAAATGCCCTCCATTCAAGTAAAGGTAAAGTAAACACCTGGCGCGCTCAGTCAACACAACAAAAAATCCATACCGCAAATACCCCCAAGTACGCGTTGTCCTATAGAAAACCTGCCTCTTTGGGCAAAGCCAGCTGAAAAAATTTACTCAAGCGTCTTAGCATTGAGGAGTGAGTATGAGAGGTGAGGGGTGCCAGGCCGTTGCTTGCTCGTTGGAGGCGGAAGTTCAGGGAGCCATCATTGATGGTGAGCGAGGGGTCACATATCTGAAGCCGGCCAAGGTCCTGAAGTGTGCTCAGCTAGCCAGTCTCCTGTATGTAGGGGAGAAGCGACGCAGTCAGAAGCAGGGTCAGGTGGTGGCAGGAGGCTTGGTCTATATGGGCACGTTTCGAAAACCCCTGCTTGGCTCTCTCGATGCAATCTGAGGTTCATTGAAGAGTCCCCGCCGAGGTCCGCTTCGTCGGCTTGATTCTTCTGGCAAAAATGGACTTTCGTCTGGAGGTGGACACGGAGGTGACAGCTATACCGACGCTTCCACAACAGGAGGAGGCTTGACGCGGAGCACAGGAATCGGAGATTTCTGCAGCGTTCTGAGAGTGGGACTGTTTTCAGGGCATTGTGGTGCTCTCAGAGTTGCTGCTGACGCGTGCCAACTGCCGGTTTTTGGGCACATCAGTGTCGAGGCGAATAAAGAGGCCAGCCGAGTGCTGAGAGTCGGTTCCCTGCCACCATGTCTGTGGACGGCAGAGTCGCAGCAGTAGATGAGGAGATGGTTCGGAGTTGGGCAGGCAGGTTTTCTCAAGCGATCATTATTCACCGCGGATCGAAGGGGCGCTTTGCAAGATCATCGAAGCTGCCTGTTCAGTCACGTGAGCAGGATTCGGGACCTGTTGAGGAGGCACTTCCCGTGGGCGCCGGTTAAATGCCTAGCCGAAAGCGTGGCTCCATGGATTCCAGCGCCAGCCTGGACTCTGGACCCCCTCAGACTACTTGGTGGCCTGGTGCCAGAAGGTCAGGGAGGAGCCCTTCCCCACGTTCATCACAGCGAGGCCGCGTCCCTTTCCACAAATTTGAAGGCGCCCTGCAGGCTTGGACAGGTTGACAGCTTTCCGCCCTACCAATATGCGCGTCAAGTGCAGGTTCAGCGCACGCGACAGCGGGGGCAAGCAGGAACACGAGGATATCAGGAAGAGTCTCATAGGCAATAGCTGGAATGTGACCGTGGTGGTCTGGCTCTTGGCCCAGTTTTGTTCTGAGCTCGGGTTACGCCCGAGAAAGAGCCCCCGAGCAGCAGCCGGAAACTGCGCCGCGCAATCAGTCGCATCAACGCTTATTGCTTGCCTCAGGTTGCCATGGGGTGTGGGCCTACGTCCACACCACTAAGAATCATGCCGATCGGCCGGCCTGTCAAGAAGAAATGGTGAGAGGTCGAGCAACTCTTTTCAAAGGCAGGAATAAGGTAACGCGACAGCAGCGCAGAGCTCTTGGACCACTAAGAAACCTTGCAGTGCAGCCGCCCACTCGTGCTGGTCACGACAAAGCTCTAGAAAAATTTCGGGCCTATCTCAGGCGTGCTTTCTGGTTGAGTCGCGTCCGATGCGATCGCGTCTGCCCAAGACTCTCGACGATCGGTGAAGGGGAGGCGTTCATCCTCCTGGAGGCTGATGAAGACGTGGTCAACAACAGAGCTGCAAAATAGAGCACCTCCTTGTGGGGGTACAGTGTACAGTCTGTTCCGCAATGACTCGCTGTTGGCTCTTTCACTTCTACTTGGCGTCCATGGACTCTTGAGGACAGGTGAACTTCTTGGGAAAAGTCACATTTGAGCAAGTCGGACCTTGCAGTGTAACCATCCTATCCTTGGGCATTACTCAGGGAAGCCGCTGGCAAGGCGCTGCTGAGAGTGTGACGATTCGTGAGGAAGATACTTTGCGACGCCTGTGGCAATGGGAAAATACACCTGGCATCAGGGCCAATCTCTGTGAAGCGCCACACATCTGGAGGAAAAAACTTCAGACTATTATTAGCTGCAACCAGCCCAGATGAGCATCTTTTCCGGCCCTACAGCTTGAGAAGGGGAGGCGCCGCCTCCTCTTTTTCAAAACATGGGTCGCTCGATCGCTTACTTCGACTTGGACGCTGGCAATCAGCTAAACAGCGAGAGTGTACATCAATGAGGAACTTGCCATCCTGGCGCATTTTCAGTTGAGGGCCATTCACAAGCAAAAGCGTACCGGGGACTGCGCGAATAAATCTCTGGGGCTCCAAACCCCGCAGCGCGCCCAAAAAGGGCAGAGCAGGGGAAGCAAACGGAGAAAGCGCAAAAGGCCAAAGAAACAAATTCAAGACCGCCGGCCGCCGGCGGTATAAAAATATGGGGAGATTGAAGAAACAATGGGTGGTGGCCTGGATGTTCCCCGGAGTGACGGGGCCCAGGACCACCCAAGGGACTGGGCTCGCACTAACCTCCGCGCGGCGAAGTAGTGTGGGGGATACCCGGGCCAGGGCGCCCTTACTTTCGTATGCGCGATTCCAACTTTTACCTTTAAGATTGACCAACTTGGTCTTGCAACGCAAGAGAAAATGGTAAACTGAGTCGAGTCATTATATAATTGCGATTGCCTTGTCGTGGTTCTTGTTTTCCTTGTTTTGGGCTAGATGCCAGCCAAAACCCAATTCATACAGCAGTTAAACCTGTGTTATTTGGATTGCTTCTTGCTTATGACAAGGGCATCAAGAAAATTAAAGCATTTGTTGCTGAGGGGTTGAAGCTGAAGTCTGCAGGACCAAACTAATCAAGTGTATATAGACATTAAGATTGAACTGTTTTATGTTTCATAATGTGTCATTTTTTATCGTTTCATTTCATGTTCAATGACTTCCATTACGTAGCCTGAGGCACCAGCCCTGAGGAGCTGAAGCTCATGGTCTCAGAGATCGATGAGCGCTGACCTTGAAACCTGAGTGTTTTGAGAAAGCCTATATCGCATACAAGCACAAAACCTTGCCACTACTAGTTTATTGGTCCATATAATACGTCTATATACATGTGTTGTCGACCACCGGGCATTGATAGCTGAATGAGGATAGTGATGGAATGTCAAGGAAGCAAGCATAGACTGCATCAGGGTTGGGGCTTTGTAGATTGCTACTAGAGAGAGGAAGAAAGAAAGAAAGAAAGAGAGAGAGAGAGAGAGGGAGGGTTTCTTTGCTTGCTAAATGTTTCATTTGATGTGTTTTGTGTCCAAACTGAAGCAACGTCTCACTGTAGGCTTTGGATATGATATGAAGCGGGCGGTTGAATTGAGTTACTGCGTCCATGAACTTACCATCCTTAGGTTTTCTGGCGTTCATACATCAAGGAAGGTTTGTTAAGGAAGGTTTGTTGCCACATGCAATGGAGTACCGAGTGCATACGGTGTTCAAAAACCTCAAGCTGCCTGCAACAAGGAACGGAAATGGGGAGATCGATTTCGAGGAGCTGAAATCTAAGCCTGCCAGGGAAGTTCTATTTGGCCCAGGCAGTACAACCACAAATGAACGAAATTCTGAGCCGGAACATTGTGGAGGGGCTTATGGCATTCATGACAGCTGAAACAGAGCCCAAGCATCATGCCTTGGCTAATGCAAGAGTCCAAGCGTTTGTGTACGGTCTCTAGTCAGCCGCAGCCCCACCCAATAACTGTTGAGTCCCTCAGCCCTTCGCGGTCATCAACTGAAGCAGTGTCTGATTTGTTTCGCAAACAAAAACGCGGATGCGAAAGGACTTACAAGAAACAGAATCTAACTTTTGAATCCAAGTTCTAGCCTATGTTTGATTATGTTGGTGCAGATCTGTCACCCTTTTTTGTGGTCCACGTTGTTCGTACTCAGTTGTTACTTCATCTTTGGACACTGTTTGTTTGAGTTTTCTGAAGATGTCCAAGGACTGCTCTTGATATGGTCATGTAAACATATTGCGGAAAAGGTACAGTATCTTGCGCGCAAACCCAGGAGTTTGTTCAAGTGATGTGCAGAAAAGTCCCACGCTGAGTTTGGTGGTATGGGCGTGTGCAGCATGTGTAGATGTTTCAGTGATAGTGATTGCATTGGTTCGATATCTCTTGCTCTTGCTGCCTTTCTTTGTTCAGCGGTCCGGCAGTTGAACTTGACACGACGCTGATGAGGTTAACACAGACTACACAGCGGATGAAGTTCGAAAAGCCTTTAAGGCAGTCTGTGGGATGCGCTTGTCACGGTAAAACTTTTGGGTTGAGACTTGGCAGGCAGCGTTGCCCACGTGTAAACTACCCCGGGCCAAGTTTGCTTCGTTTGACGTTGCTCAGCTCTCCTCAATATATTGGAGTCGAAGGTTAGGTTTGCGTGACACACAGCAATTTGTCTTGAATAATCGCAATATTGATTCGGACCTCTGTCCACTGATTTGCTTTCGGCGCAGCCTAAAAACCATATCAGATCGCGTCAGAAAATACAAACTGAAAGCAACCAAACAGATTCACCTGAGGTCTTCTCCGGCAACGCGCCCGACGGGTGCATCCGTGTGAAGGATTTGGAGCAAGCTTTGCAGGCGCGCCCTTTTAGAAGCGTCAATATGGTAGAGACATGTAGAGGATGCAACAGCCTAAGGCAGCGTGGGAGATATTGCGGCAAGGTGCAAGTGTACACTTCGTATGTTCATGTGTGTGTATGTGTGTGTGCCCCCTCTGTCCCCAAGAGCCTAAACTTTTTCACCACTGTTGCAGGGGGCGACATGGCTGTCGCCAACGAAGCTCCATGCAGTCGACCAGGACGCAGGGACTGATCATCCCTGTGTACCTGCACTTTCAACTGTTGACCACGCTTGCTGCCATGGTTGTTCTCATGATAGACCCCAAAGCAAGTTTCCCTCAGCCGCTTTCCACCATTCGTGAGCTGCTGCTGCACTACCGCAGTCTTCTGCAGATGAGAGAAACTCCTTTGTTAAAACACCTACAAGTGCTTGGACCCTTCACCTTGCCGTTGAGGCATTCCTTTCCTCGGGGAATTGATGTAACTGAAACCCCATTGTCAAAGTGTGTGCCGCTCTGCCGTCCCACTTGGGTGCAGGGTGTGATCCCCCGCAAGGGGGCGCTGCTTTCATTCCGGATTACTGTGTAACTGATTCTATTGTTTTCTGCGTGCGTTGGATTATCTAAACGGACTTTCGTTTCACTACTGTATTCTCAAAATCAAAGCCGCCGGGCTGCACGGTTTTGCGACTGATCTTTCACTGCAGTGTCAGATTTCAAGATCGAGATGAGTTTGCTCTCCACATGTCTTAACTCTTTCAGCTTACGGATTTGCATAACCGATTTGTTTTCAGACTGCTTGCATTTTACTCAAATTAATTCGACTTTCAGTGCATTGCTTGAATTTTTATATTGCTCACACCTTGCGTCGCTGCGGACCCGCTGCGCTGCCGCCATACCTGCAGCTGCCCATTGGTTTTTTGAGCAGACGACTCTGGTACTTTCTCGACGAGCATGCAATTCCCTTGGCCGTTTCCTTATGTACCACAACGTTCGCCAGGTCACCCACCTCCAACAATGCCCATTCCACAATCGCTGCCGCCTCAACCTACACACTATCCTCCTGCGCCTGTGATGCAGCAACCGACCAACATAGACTTTGCCTCCCACTTTCACTCCACCGCCGCATCCTCAAACCATTCCACCACACCTCCACCCAGCCAATCCTCAAGCCATTCCTCAACCATCACCCACGCTCCCGATTGCTTACAGCTATCCTACAGCACTGCCACTACAGGAAATCCGTCCTCCCTCACCCCCACCCCACTTCAATCACCGCAATTCCTAACTTCAGGCAATTCCCAATCACTCACCACCACTTTCTCTTGGGACCCACAACACGGCGTGTGGCAACAACAGCCTTTCTCAGCCTTCCCACCTGTCACAACCACTCAGGATCCTTCCGCGCCAGCCGCCAATCTAACCACCTCACCACCCGCACCGGGCCCTACATCAACCTTCCTCTCAGCATTACGACCGCCACCACCGACACTCTACCACAGCCACCTTCCACACCTGTCGGCTCAACCGCACCCAATGCAGCCGATCCCAACCAACACACGGCACCACCAGCCGTCGAACCACTTCACCACACACGCCGCCACCACCGTCATCACGGCCGCCGGCAACACCACCGCCGCCACCACCGAGGTCGCTCAGACCGCCACTCAAACCGTGACTCTCGCCACCACACTCACACCAACTCAGCCTCCCACCGTGATCCCTCTACCTCCTGCACACATTCTTCCCCATCACGCAGCCGCTCCCGCCACCAACACCTATCACTTTGCGACCCAACACAGATTTTGCAAACCACCACTCTACCTCCGCATCCCAATCAGCTGCACCTGATACCTACCCCAACCATCCAAGTTTTCGCCGCGTCCTCAATCCTTGGAAGCCTCCACCTCACTTCAGCCAGAAGCCCCCGCATGAACAATTTGAAATTTGGTTGGACTATCATGCCGACCAACTCAACACCCCCAACAAACCACAACACGCATACATTGCCCGCCTCCTCCTGGACAGCGGCATCACCTATGCTGACGTGCGCGATTACCGTCAATTTACCCACATCAAGTGGATCAAAGATTCAGAGCGCTACGATCTGTTCCATTTCAACCACATCAGCATTACTTCTCTTGCCCAAAAAGCTCACCACCGCTTTCCGCCACAACCCATGACACCAACACCTCCCCTGAACTCGTCCACATCAACGCCGGTCATACAGGACCGGTAGGCAACATCAGCAACATCCTACAACAAGGCCGGTTCCTTCCAAGCACCCTCCATTTTACACACAATACCGGCTTTTTTGCGCAAGGGATGCGCATCACACAACAATTCCCTCACGACCACGCCGAGCAGTAGGCAGTGGTGGGAAGGTGGCGTGGAGATGAGGGTCAACTTGGTGCGTGTGAACCAGAAACATGCTGTGAAGGTTTGCTAAAAGGTCTGCTGCTGTTTGGAGAAGCTTGTGAAGCTGTGTGAGAGCCACCGTTGTTCTCTGGAGTATGGTGGTGACATCCGGGGTCGTGGACATCGGTCTCCAAGCAAAACTAGGTTCCGGCGGCCGCAGCAGCGCACAGGACATGGAGCGCTAAGGTCAGTCGATACGGTGGCATGCAGGATGAATTACGAAGCATTTGAATTAAATCGAGCCATGTCAAGGGTGCGCATCAGCAAGAAAACCAACAAACATCCGAACAAACACACGCACCTCCCCCCAAAAATGAGACATGGCATGCGGTGTGGCCAAATGTCTGAGAAAAACACGCGTGCACCAGAATCGAATTAGGCGGTCAGGCAGCGCAAGACGCAGCAGCTTTTTTGCCATGAGGCAGCTGGTATGTGGGGTATGGGTGAGACCGTGAGGGTGAAAAAGATGTGGTTGTATGTGGAAGTGTGGAAGGTTGGTTAGGTGTCGGGTGGTGTGGCATTTGCTGACCAAGCTAGGCCGCGCACAATGGCGTTGTGAGGGTGGATGACCCAACAGCGGCCGTTTTGGTGGAAAACGGCGCCGTGATGTTGTTGGAGAAGGGTGGGCTGCTTGTGCTTCGCCCCCTTGGGTGATCTTTTGGCCGGTGCCCCAAGCAAGGAGAGAGACGATGATGGAGTGTGTATCTTTGGCAAGGTTCCAGGTGTTGAAGAGAATGCGAGCGTCCCCCTCCTCGCCCTCTTCCTGTTCCATCCAGCACATCCTCTTGCGATACCCCTCCTCCTCGCCACCCTCGCACCGCACCTCCTGTTCCACACTCTCCATCTTCTCAGCACACACCTTCCTCCACTCCACCACCGCGGCGCCGTAAGGCACCAAAGCGAAAACCCCCTCCACCTGTCCCTACAGATACCAACTCGGACGACTGGGATGCAGACGCAGAGTGTCGCCTCGTCGAGCTCAAGACAGACACTCACCTTCGACCCATTTGGACCTATGTTGCCAGCCGAGTCGGTTTTTCAATCGAACAATGCAAAGCTCGCTGGGCAGAACTTCAAGAGCTTCAGCGACTCATTGGATCAACAACACACTACTCCTTCTCCCTCACCCTCACCCTCTCCTACCTCTCCAGCAGACACCATTGCTTCGCCGCGCCATGAGTCTCCTGCACCGCCACTCCTCTCTCCACCACCCTCTGCATCTTCTTTCCCTCCATGCACACATTCCCCCCATCCCTCCGGAGACATCGCCTGCTGCTGCGCGAGCTGCCGAGCGCTGCCCTAAGCGACACTGAACCACCTCCAGTCGGACATTTCTTGTGATTTAGTGTTTTGGCATTTTGTACCAGTGACAAGTAGCGGCGACCACTGGCTAGAAGTCTCACCACTCAGAAAAAGTTGCTTCTTTGTCCAGCGCTTATCGGGTTTCACTTTTGTATTCCTGATGATTCATTGATTTTAGAGTTTTTCAGACGTTCCTCTTCCACATACTGTTTTGTCAGAACAGGCGCATGTTTCCTATCATTTTATTGCAATCATTCGCTTCCGCCGTTTCTTTCACCTCCCTGCAGCTTTTCTTTCGAGATTCGCTTCCTTATGTCCTCCTTCGAAGTGCGGCTGATGTCCACCATCCAAGCCCTCACCGGCCAAGACATGATGGAGAACGACAACCAAGAAGGAATGAGCGGTGGCGCTGAGAGTCCGACTTCACCAGGCCCAACCTCATACTACCTTCCAATCCGAGGCCCTACATGGCGCCCTCGGTCACTCATCAGCCGGAACTCCTGCTTTTGCACTGGATGTTGCATATGTTGCAGAGCATTGTCAATACTATTCTCCATCACCCTCTGGTCCTTGACCCTATCCCTGATCAACGCTATTTCACCGACCAGAACTCTTTTCGGCTTTTTGCCCAATTTCGCAAAGCATTTCACCGCCTTGCACCATTGATGCTCGACATCACCCAAGGCCGCCGTATCCTTCAGTTTACCCCTGGCTCTCCAGGTTCCCACGGGTATTATCGGATGGATCCCACCGTTAATTTCCCCCCGCAGACAAGCAACTTCCTCTCCACGTCTCCACTCCTTCCTACCCACCCAACACCTTCTTTACCAAGACAACATCAAGTCATACAGTTTCACCAACCTGAACTTACCCACAGAACAAGGTCTCGTTCTCGAGACCGTCACTCCTGGGACACTCCTCTTTTCCACCGCAATCACCAATCCTTTTCTCAGCCTCCACTGCTCCATCGGCCACCACACACCCAGGCCGCGGACATCGCGGCTCACTCCACCACCATCTATGGACCGCCTCCACCTTTCCCACCCCTCAAGATCCTATGGAAGCGGGAACAGTTCATCGGGAGGCCTTGTCCACACATGCCGGGCGACCTTGTCAGAGCAATTGGTGATTCAGGCCTTGGAAAACAGTGCACTCTCCCATCGCCTTTTCACTGGTTACCTTCCCGGGTTTCTGTTTTATTGGTCCTCTCTATCGTTGCCATTACGCATGTTCTGCTGCCATATACTTTCAAACTTCCTTGGTTTTTCGCCCGCTGTCTCCGATTTCTCTTTTGATGGACGA